TTCTAAATATTGTTTTAAACAAGACTCAAATGGATCTTGTTTAGTTCTTCACTTCCAAGTGCTGACTGATGCTGACAGTCTTTATCTTCATACAAATTATGTACGTTGAGCAGCCAAATGAAAGCAAACACGTAAACCTGATGCTCTAACTGTATGTATTCTTCTTGGATATGCTTTCTTTCCTTTTACATTTTATTTCTTAATATGGATAGCTCTGTTAGTACATTATCCACTGTGTCCTGTCCTGCTTATAAGTAGATTAATACTTCTGCAAATCTAAGGATTATAAACTATAATCATATTGTAAAATGGAGGACACTAGCTATACAAACAAAAAAGGCTGCATTTCATTTTTGTTTAACATTTTAAGGACTATAGTATTTGAAATATTATTAAATAAGAAAATCAGAAAGAATACAAGTTACCCACATCAGTTTAGGATTAGGATTTATTTAAAACAGGATCCTTTGTAACAATGTTTACATAAAGTTAAACCACACGATGCCAAATATATTTTAATGTTTTTAATGAATTCTACTGGGAATTCATTGAATTCCAGTCAACTTTTCTCATTCTGTTAAATTATTAGAAACATAAGCCTGTTTCTTCTGTTGTGTAACTGAATGATGACTTCGCAGATTAGAATAAAAAAAAATCCTAAACACTCTAGATAAATTTCTATTAAAATGCCATTAACGGAAGGCTATTTTTTGAGTTGAGATTATCAGTCAAACTTTCAGTTACAAAATGAAACAAAAATGTTTACCTGGCCTGATTTAGAATAATTTTCTAATTACACTAAAGGAAATAATTTCCACACCTGTAAATGAAGCTGAAAGAAGAGGTTTTATTTATGTTTCAGAATCCTCAAAAAAGGAAACGTTAGGCATTTGTATTACTTTGGGCATTCAGTCTACGTGAATACAAATGAAGTTGCAATGGAAAATAAAAGAGAAACTATCAGACTTAAATGAAATATACATTAATTCATTTTAATAGTTAGATACCGAGGAGCACTACGATGTTTAAAAAGAAACGACAGGCAGTGCAATATGGTCTTCCGTGTTTGTAAAGACAATACACATTGTCAGAATAGGGCCAATGAAGATATGCAGGAAAAAAATTGGCAGTGTTTCATGAAGTAGCTTTAATTAGACTGCTGAAATAGTTTAACTAGTCTGCTTAAATAATTTAGACCTACTTAGTTATTTAGACTAAAGTAGTGTTCTGGAGCATCATGAGCGGTCAGCCCTTAGAAGAAAGGGTGACAGCAGCAATAAGGTGTAACGATCGCTCAATGGCAGATTTTAGTGACAGATTTTTACTGAACTGATCCAGGCTACTTCTATCACAGCAATGCGAGAGTAAAGAAAGGGTAACGTCAAGCATGTGATCTTCATCTACATGAATTTTAACTTACATTTGGTACATGTGCCTTGAGAGGGAGGGTCAGAAAGGAAAGCTTTCTGCCCACTTGTTCATTTACATGGCAAATACTAAAAATGAGAGAGTAGTTTAGGCCTGTGAAATTCACTGTTTTTAACCACATGAAGAGAGAGCATAATACATTCTGAGCATCTCTGAATGTCAACAATGCCACAGAGTAACGCATTATGGGATTTTAAAAACAGACATCCTGGACTGATATTTAAGTATTCTTTAAGCAATGTTCAGAAGAAGAGTTTGACTTAAGTAAGACCCCCCAAAAAATTCCATTTTCTGAAAGGAGAAGGGTAAGATGATTCATCATTCACTCAACCAAACCCTTAAATGTATCAACATTGTCTTTGCCTATCCAAGGTAGATGTCTGAGCCAATTATTTAAATAATGAAGCAGCTGCCAACTGGTAATGAGGAATCCTTCACTTAAATAGTATCCTCTTTAAAAATTATCTAAATACTATTTAAAAAGTGATAGATAGATCACTAATGCCTAAAATGGTATCAAATGTTCAAGTAATTAATTTGGATTATTTTACAAATGAGTAGGAAAAATACAGGACTTACTTAGTCTTAAATGTGATGAGGTTATCATGTATTTCTGTAAAATGAGTTTGAGCTCATCTCTGTTTTCCCATATGTACACAAAAGAAGATGCAGTGATGGAGAACCACTGTAAAGACTTCAACTTGCACCAAGCAGAATTTCCTATAAATTATCTTATTTTTACCCGATTATTTACTGCAGAATGGCACAAAGTTTAGTTATCTGTGGACATCATGCATAGAAAGAATACGTATACACACATATGATCACAGTCATGTAAGTATTGTTGCGTATCATATAATCATAGAATGGTTAGGGTTGGAAAGGATCTTAAGATCATCTAGTAGCAACCCCCCTGCCATGGGCAGGGACAACTCACACTTTTGTTTTGTTTTGTTATCTCAGTAAACATGTTCATCAATTTGTCATAAGTCATTTTAGCACAGAATTTTAAGGTAGTACAAAAATTAAATTACTTGTGTAGTTTAAAAAAGTATGAGAACTTGAAAATTAAATAGGTAATTCTGGAGACAGTGACTCTAGTGTCAAATTAAAACTTGGAAAATATAAAAGATATATTCCTTAATAAAAGAACTATTTGTAGAGACATAGATTAAAAGAGATGACAGTTCATTTTTGATACCCATCAATGAATACATTTTACAGAATGATGTATTTTGAAATGAGGGTGGTGAGGAACTGGCACAGGTTGCCCAGAGAAATTGTGGCTGCCTCATCCCTGGCAGTGCTCAAGGGCAGGTTGGACAGGACTTTTGAGCAACCTGGATTAGTGGAAGGTGTCCCCTCCTATGGCAGGGCGGTTGGAATTAGATGATCTTTAAGGTCCCTTGGTGGTTGGTGTTACCTGTTGCTTTGTCTCTGTTTTTTTTGGAGGCAGTGCAACGCTAAATCAGTAAGTGAAGTGGGTAAAACAAATTTGTAGTTCATCTTCCAATGTAATATAAAGTCCATTTAAATCAGTTGATTATAAAAACAATGAAATGTAAAGTCCTCAGTCTGCAGACATATCAAATATTAGACTGATAATATACTGCACTTGGTCATCACTAGATCTTAGTCTCTAGTCTTTTGGTAGGATTTTTTATGACTATCTTTCAAGTAGTTAGAAGCCGAATTGTCTATGCAATGCTTCTCTTTTTTGTAGTTATTTTTCAAAAACTATGAATTCTGCTTAAAGAATGGATCTGAATCTTGAGGCTGTATAAGCATTGTAGACATCTGTTAAATGTCGAAACGGATAACGGAGGCTCTCAAATCTGTCCTAAAATATCTCTGGGTTGTTTTCTTCTTTTATACGTAGTTTTCTTTTTAGAGTTTTGTTTCAGAATTATTTTCGGATAATAGAATTATGAGCTTTGTGAGCTGATGGTTAAAGTATTAGGGTTGAAGAAATACCTGTCAGTGCCTGCAGAAAGGCAGTGGGAGGAAATTAAAGGCTCTCCTAATGAGTCTGTAATAACAATTCACCTTCCCAGTGAGTCTACAATGTAATTTCTTCTACTTCTGGGAAGGAAATGGGGAAAAAAGTTTGTTGGAGAAAATGTCAGTGGGAACAGTGAAGTCATTCTGATTAACAGAGTAGGGAAAAATCGATCCTGTGCTAATGCAGTTGGTGTTCACATTAATGCTCCGAAGCTCACAATGACTGAAAAAAAGAATGTGTGGTTAAAGCAGTGACGCCTGACTCAGGAAATCTGAGTTCATTTCCTGGCCTTGGTGTCTCTTTAGCTTTGTGCAAGAGATTTAATCTCTCTGCTTGCTTTTTTTTTTTCTTTTTTTTTTTTTTTCTTTTTCTTTTCTTCCTGTACCACAGGGGAGTAATTACGCTTCAGATTGGTCTGAGAATAAATGCATTAACGTGGTTGGTCCATTGAAGCTCAGGCAAAAGGACATACAAAGGCTTCAGTTCTCGTTCCCTTACAAAAGGCTTTTTGGCTATCCACAGAGCAAGTGGAGTGCTCACACCTTGTGTCTAGAAAGGTGAGGAGGCACCTGCAGTACCTGGGCTGGCCTCTGTAAGCAGATCTTACACCCTGGCAGTGTGTCCAACTTCCAGTCAAGAGGTGTGGCAAATGATGCTTATCAGTCACAGGGTGGTTGGGTTTTTTCTACATGAACATAGCCTGAAGCTACTGCACAGCTTTCTTCTTCTGTGAGGGTTGGTAAAGCAGGCAGCCAAAATGTGTAAATATTGGTAGTCAGAACTCCTGAGAAAAATGAAACTTTGGAAATCTAAAGCTGAAGCAGAGCAATACGGGTGCCAAAAGGTTCCTGTATGCAAGAAGGTTCCAATCCATGGGAGATGCTGAAACACAAGCCCCAAACAAGCACGCAGGTGGCTAGGAAAAGCATTGTGGTATAAAAACTGGGTGAAATGATCCTGAACCATCTCATGTAACCACACGCATGTAACCTCCTGAACCTCGTGTAAGTTCCTGATATCGTCAGTGCCTTCAGACCCCTCGCACAGGCAGGAAATTGGAGGAAATCAAACTCTCAAGTCTTTCCATGAGCCCTGGCATGGAGAAAGCCTACCCTCCTGTGGATCCGCTGTTGACTGCTAGAGTCCCTCCAGGCTTTTCACGTAGCTGCTGAGGCCCCGTTCCCCTGTGAGTACTCTCCGTGTCCCAGAACTTCCAACACTCCCACCCATCACGTTTGTTCCACCAACGGGCACACCAACCGTAAGGGCACACTCTAAAACGCAGCCAGGAAGCCCGCAGGCCTCACGGCCTTGCAAACCCCGGCAGCGCTGCCGCAGCGGGGCCGGCGGGCACGGCCGAGGCGCCATGTCCTTGGCAGCTCCGCTCCCCGCCACCGCGCCACGTGAGTCGTTTAGAAGCAGGACGCGCCCGCGCAGCGCCCTAACGGACGGCAACGAGGGGCGGCGGCAGTGGCGCTGACGTCACGGTGAGCCGAGGGGGCGCGGAGGCAGGCGGCGCGGCTCCCGGGGCATGCGCGGCGGAGCTGGCGTGCCGACCCTCCTACCGCGGGCAGGGCAGGGCCGGGCTGGGCGGGGCGGCGCGCGGCCGGTACCTGAGGGCGCAGAACGCTGCGGCCCTGCCTGAGGAGGCGGCGGTAGTGCCGGCCTGTGCCCGTCCCGGCGGTGAGTGCAGCGGCCGGGGGGGGGGGGGGGGGCTTGTCGCGCCGCCCTCCTGTCGCTCTTCCCCTTCCTCTCGCGGTGGGCTGAGCGGCTGGGGGTCCTCTGGACGGCGCCGAGGGGGGAGCGGTCGTTGCTTCCTCCCTTTTCGCCGCCGCCGCCCCCCCTCGTCCGCCGGGTCTGGGATTGTCACCTCGGCCAGGGGATGCTGCAGCATCACCGGCCGCGCAGGCCGCAGGAGGCTGAAGAGGGGCGGGCGGGGCAGCCGCCTCCTGCGTGTCCCTGCCGGGCACAGCCTTCACCTTTCTGGGGGCCTGAATGTCAGCTGAGGCTCCCGCAGTGCCGCTGGCTGCGAGCCGTGCCACACGTGTGGCTTCCCCCAGATGGCAGGGCACTCGCAGCGGTGCCAGCCAGGCTGGTCGTGCCCGGGGCTTTCGCTCGGCTTCGTCAGCTGAGCTGATCCCGGAGGTTAAAGGCAATCTGGCAAGGCAGGCCTGCCGCTGGGTTCCTCCCTCGATTCCTGCTTTGCAGTGGTTTATGCGTCTTTTAATACTGTTTAGTGAGAGATACCTGCAGGTATATTGGGAGCCACCTGCTGAAGGCCCTGGTTGCAAAGATCTCTTTGTAGCCCAAAAAAAAGGGGAAGAAGCAAAAGTACCCACAATGTAGTTGTTCATAGACAACAGTTTAAGAAGAAAAAAAAAAAAGTTGATTATCTAATTTAGCTATAAACTGTAAAGATTTCGATTATAACAACAGGGGATGTTGTGTATGACGATTTCGCTTTGATGATGCCAAGACTTTGCAGTCTTCACCCAGTGCCCGATGTTATCAATGTATTCTTTTAAATGTACTTTGACACACAATGAAACGTAAGCACCTTCAGCCTTTAACTTTGAGTTGGAGGAAGTCGAGCTTTTTATCTTCAGTTAAAGAAAGCAAAACTGAGTGGGAGCTTAAAGCTGTAGCAAAGAATTACTGTCCAGACCAGACAACAAATTAAAGAGAGAATTGTAGATCTCGTACTCTGTCCAGATGTATGTGGTATAAAGGTATTTACTGCTTTTCAAGGGAATTGGTTCAATTTGTAGGACTTATGCTTCATATTTATAGTGCGTTTGTTCATGGTGTTTGTGGGCTCTGAGTCCCAATTTGATGCAAAAGAATTTTTCATTATGAAGATATTAAAAACAAAATTAAGTTGGATCTAAGGTCTCGTTTTGCTACGTTCTGATAATTGAGAAGCACTTTAAGTATTATGTGAAACTATAACAAAATCTCTGGTGGACTAGTTGAAAATACAAAACTCTTCATCCCATTAATGTGAGGTATTAAATATTTACATTTTTTAGTGATACTGAATGACAATTGACAGATATTTTCTTACACATACAATGATCACATAACTCAAAATTCTGAGGGCCCGTTTTGAATTTAATGATTCCAAGCTGAAGAGGTTATGGCCTGACATGGAAAATTAGTAATAAACAGCTACCTGAATGTTAACCAAGGATCTACTTTAGCATAGAACTTGAAGTAGAAAAAATGTTTTTAAAGTTGAAGTTATTTTTTGCTTACAGTTAGTACTTTTCATTATAGAAATCTCAGTATTTGGGCTCCAAAATCAGTTCAGTATTGTCTTCCAATTGTAAAGCTATTTAAACAGTAGAAATATTTCATGTTTAGAAGATTTCTTATTTGATATTTTAGACCACTATAGTACCTTGTGGTTTTAAAGTAAAGTAATAATATATATGGTTTTAGAAAAAATAGTAATGATGTCAATTAACATGATGATCTCATTTAATATATTGTTATACTAATGAGTAATCTCATTTAATGGTACTGTTCATGTAAAAGCTCAGTGGAGTAAAACCTATTACTTTTGGACCTGATCATCCTTTAAGAGGGATTGGTTATTTGGAATAAACCAGTTACAAAGGAGTGTTGGCACTGGCTCTCCAGATAAAAAGCCATCATGCCATCAGCCTTAATGTGAACACTGCTCACCTAAAATTATTAGACTGTGTGTATCTCTGAAAATGGAAGACAGATGAAGGAATAAAAGCCAGTTGCAGCAGTTGTTGTGGTGTTCTCTTTTAGGTGCTATTTGAAAGTGTAAACAGCAGCACCATCTTAATTAGAAGCTTTCAGGCAGAGTTAAATTCTGTGCCACCAGGGATACTAAGAAGATCAAAATACTAATGATACTTTTGATAATTAGGTTTAAAATGTTGTATTGTATTTCAATTGAAGCAATAAAAAAGAGCTTATGTACATCTCTGGAGATCTGAACACATGTATGTTACAATAAAATCCCAACAGCATTAAAATAATTATTCTAGAGTTGATGTTTAGCTAGTCAGTGTAGGTCTTTGCATTTCTTCACACCTCTGGGACACGTATCTATCTCACTGTTAAACTTCTATCAAATAGGTGTGGTTTTGGAAGGCATCCTGAGAATATTGTTTCTTTCTTGATCCAGAGTAGCTTGATTTGCAGAGATCTGGATTTTGTTCACTAGCTATTCTGTATTCGAAAGGAAGGATTCAGCTGGAGCAGTTCTGAAAATATCCTATAGTAAGTGAAGCAAGAATGTCTTTGGGTGGGGAATGCTTATCCCTGGTCACATGGGGAGCTGGTGTCACAAGTTCTCAGTGAAATGCTTTTTTCACTACAGATTGCTGGGATTTTTATGAGCACTTAGTCCGTGATGAGTTGAGGTAGTCTGCTGCAAAGTGCATTTTATTGGCTTTGATTGAAGCAGAAGTATGGTTAATGTTGGCAGTGTTTTCGCTGCAAGGAGACTCCTTAGCCAGAGGAAAATGGCTGATAAGGTTTTACTTTTATGGGGTGGCTGAACAAGTTAGAGATCTGGAATAACCCTTAAATTGCAAATAATTTCTGAATTCATTCCCTGAAGCAGAAGAACTGTGCTTTTAGGCTAATTAGCCAGATGGCTTGTGACACACACAGCACAAGATAAGCAAAGTGTCAAGGGAGAACTGAACACCCTGAATTCTCTTGACTCAATATTGTGTACTTTGAGCTGGAGATCCAGGAATCTTGTCTAGATGGATATGGAGATGTGAGCACAATGTTAATTTGTGTGATCTTCCGCTCATGTTCTTTTTGTGAATCATATTAAAGACAGTTTTTACTTAAATGTATTTTTTATGTTATATGATGAAATTATTACACAGATGTGTTGATCAGTATTTTTTATGATTTGAAGGAAGTTATGTTTTTTAACTAACCTTGATCTTGATAACCAGCCTTGCATAGGTGGAAACTTGGCAAGACCAAAGCTACTGCCATTAGTAACAGGAGACTTGAATAAAGGAGCAGAATCTGTACTCCTGCATAGCCTTGTCCATCAGTAAACAGAGTTTAAAGAAAAATCCTAATCCATCTGAATGTAAATCTTTCAGTCATGCAAGCTCTCTGCAATCATAGTTTATAAAAATAATACTTTATCATGACTAATTTTGAGATCTTGATTAAACAAAACATGATATATATCAACTTCCTTTAAATTCAAGTGGAATATAAGCACAAATGACTGTCTCTTTGTAACTGCAAGCTAATGTGGGAGAAAATGATCACATGGACAAACTGTCACAAGTAACTGAAGTTATACATGTCAGTTTCTTTGAGACTCTTTTTTTTTTTTTCAATTGCAAATGTGTGAGGCTATAACAAGTATGCATCTTCCATACTGCAGAAAACTAACCTTGATAGGTATATATAGATAAAACTTTGTGTATCAGAAAATCAGTGAGAAAATACAAAACACGCTTTAAAATACTTGCAGAAGGTTGCCAGTCTGTGGTTACAAAATACATTGATATTTATCATGCTGTGGTGAACTTACAAAGTTGTTTGGTACTGAAATGTTTTTAGAGTTTGGTTTTGAGATTAGGAACAAATTTATAGAAATTAAAGCATAGGCAGAGGCTTTAGGTGTCTAGCACTACTGAAATTAACTTCAGTAGCAGCCAAATAGTACTTTGAAGGTGTGGGTCAACAATAAGCCAATGATAAGTGTCAACCGGAAGCTGTAATGTGCCAGTATATGTCTGTAGTATTTTTGCTTAAGGGTGAATGTTGAAGAGAAGTCAAACTTCAACTCAAAGAATACAAGTAATCCAGTATCTTCTTGAAAGCATATAGATTTAAACAAAATGATCAGTACAACTTGTATGCTTGGTAGCAAGGAGAGCAGAAATAAGTGGCCAATTCTTCCAATGTAGGGAATCTACAAGTAGTTTTCCCTCAGGAATCTGCACAAGGAAATGAAATAATCTTCAAAAGAATTATTAGTAGGGCTCTGGAATTCTGTGCTTAAGGTGCTCATAGGTGGAAAAAACTTGGGGTCTCCAGGACAGGTTGGACAAGATAGCAGAGGAGAGATCTGTGGAGGGTTCCTAAACAAACTAGGTAAAATTCAAGAAATCCTATGAATTGAACGTAGTTGAAGATTGAAGAGGTCACATTTTATGCTTGCCTCATTCATCCTCTTCCTGGTGCACTTTTTTTTTTTAAGACTGCTACAGGTGACAGTGTGACTTTTTATTCATCAGCTTTAGAATAAGGTTGGCTGCTAGAACTGTATGGCTGAGGGCTTGGAGAATTGAATCTGAATGTTGAATTTGATCCAAACCAGTTTTAAAGATTTTCTTTGTCAGTTTCTTTCTTTCATATTTTTTTATATATATATATATTTTTTTTTTCTTTTTTTTTTAGTCCAGCAGTGGCTGATGGTTTGACATGTTCTTGTCCCAAGGTTGTGATCTTCTGAAAACTGAACTATGTTGAAGCAACATTGGCAATATGTAGAAAAGAAATTCCAAGAACTGTTTTCTTTTATCATCCTTCTGCTTCATCTTGTCTAGTCTTGCTAAATTATCACCTGTGAACCTCTTCAGGCTTACTGAAGATATCTCAGTACCAGCAAGTTTATGAATACCATGCAGTCTCCTTCAATTATCTCTGCTTGTCATTCG